ACAGTCTGATGAATGAGATTGTCTCTTTAGCCTGCACACATGGTTCTGGTTACTGTTCTAGTTTTACTTAAAGTATGTCACACAAGAACAAAATGTGACTTATTTATTTAATGTGTACAGACTAAAGTATGCAGTCAAAAATACAGATAAAAGTAACTATTTTGTATCTCCTGCAATACTAAATTTCAAACTTTTCTCAGTAGTACCATCTGAAAGACTAACTTCAAGAGGTGAGGATGCCAAACTAAGGCTTATGATATGAAATACAGTGAACTTCCAGTTTCATAGCATAATAATCTGTCTTTAGCTCCATCAGTTGTGGCATGTTGCAGACTCCCACCCAGCCACTCTCTCATCCCTCTCCTCAACTGGACGAAGGAAGAAAGTAAGATTGAGAGAATCTCATGGATTGAGATAGAGACAGGGAGATCACTTGCAAAAAAAATAACCTGAGAAAATTAACTTACTGCCAGTTAATATAGATTTAGGTAGCGAGAAACAAAGCCAATCATTAAAACTAGGCCTTTCCTCATCCCTCTCCTAAGCTCAACTTCAGTTCCTCAATCCCGGCTGCCCCAGAGCAGCTCAGGGGTCGCAGGGCTGTGGTCCCTCCTCAGCAGCTGCTCCATCTCCTGCCCCAGAGCATCTCAGGGGTCGCAGGGCTGTGGTCCCTCCTCAGCAGCTGCTCTCAGCTGCCCCTGCCCCAGTGCCTCAGGCAGCCCCGGCCTCGCCACAGAGGGACCGCAGAGCTCCCTGGCAGCATTTGACCACCTGCAGCAGGTAAAGTGTATCTTCATGCCTAATTCTGCTTAAATTGGCTAGAAGGTTTTGTCTATTTGATGAATGATCTCAAAAAATAAAATAAAATTATCAAAGCAGGAACAGCAGTGGCTTTGAAAGTTATTGTTGTGAAAACTTGAAGAGAGAGACATTTGCCATATAAATAAATCAGACGGCACTGCAAAATCAATCCAGGAGCAGGAGAAAACCAATGACATTTTGGATGCTAGTGGAAGGTGGACATGTTTGAAAATACATACTGGAGCTGTGACGTCATTTCTCTAGTTGCAGTCTGTGAAGAAGCAAAACCATATATTTTGAGCTAATACAAAAAGGTGGTGCAAGGTAGGCGGACACTCTCCTGCCTGACGTTATGTTTTTTCTTGGTTTCTGCAATATTTCCCTTCCCAGAGAGTGCTTATGCACACCTCTTTCTGGACTTGCTAGACCCTTCCACTGTTTTTGTCCCTCGTGTTCTAATAGCTTAGTTTTAATTTTGACCAGATGTCTGCAATAATTGTTACTGATTTCAAGACAATAGTGAGTACCTTGATAAAAACTGAGGAAGGTTTTTTAATTATAGATCATCTCAAGCTGGAAAATTGGGATTGTAAGAATGTTCTGATAAACTCAGTTGTAGAAGCACTCACTGTAAGTTTTGGGTTGGGACTCCATTAGAAGTCGTATTACCTTTTCCTTTCTGAGTTTATTATCAGTAGAAATTAATTTTATGTGCGTTGTAATTATGTGGTTGTCTGTTTCTTTGCCAAATGTAATGAAAAAGGAGCACATAAACAGAAAACTCTTCTGATGTTTAACATACAAGATCTTTCATTTATCCTTACACTAGGTGGACCACATTTTGATGGAAACATTTCTTACTGATGTGGTTTTTTTAAGAGGCTTCTGCCACTTTTATTCACACTAATGAACATTCCAACAACATTGCAAGGTGTAACACTCCATGTTATTTCAGGACTTGATCTTGTATCTTAAGTGAACACGTGGAAGCAGGGGGAAAAGTGCTCATTAAATGTCTAGGTATATCTGTGTGCCATTAATGTTATTTCTTTTCATAGAAAATAACATTATTTTGAATATTTGGAAAGTTTATTTTCCATTATAGTTCTGCTGATATTGTGCATATTACTTAGTTTTAGACAGCTTAGTGCATTGCTTTGTGGTTTGTTTTGGCAAATTAGATTTTGCTAAGGTGATTTAGCACCTTTATCTAGGTGAAGAAAATGTTAATTATAATAGTTGTTATACATTGGAATCAAAGTGTTTGCTAATTAAGTACTGTCTGTACTTCTGTTACTTCCCTGTACTGCCCAGATGAGTTGCGGATTCCCCCTCCACAAAAGCCTCCTTGAATGGCCAGGTGGGATGAGACTTGGAGCAGCCTGGTCTAGAGGGAGGTGTCCATGCCCTCGCAGGGCGTTTGGAACTAGATGACCCTTCCAACCCAAAACATCTATGATTCTATATTTAACTTGCTGACCAAACATAACCTGCATGCACAGTAAAGACCAGAAAAAACTAGCAATTATTTTCTGTTCTTCAATGGCGGTTTAATGTGCCAAGCAGACTGGCTTCCTGTCAGCTGCTCAAGACAATGTCAGAAGTATGTAATTTGGGGTTTTTAAAAAAATCAGAGTGGATGGACAGATCCATCTGTTTCACTGCTGTCTGTATCGGGTGTATGGTGCTCCACCAAGATTGCAGGTTTTGGCAGACATTTGCTGGTTTGGCAGTGCACCTGTGATGTGTTCATCTTCTGTGACTAGCCCATATCCCAATGACAAAATTAATTATGAACTCACTCTCCATGTGAGCCTATCCCCCTTCTACTTTTGCTTTCCCTTTTCTTGGAAATATATAGCATTTGATAAAGGCAGCAATCATGAGCATAATGTACCCTTTGGGCTTGTTACTCTATTTAAATGGATTAATCACTATCTTTTCCTTTTGAACTTGGTCATAGAATAAATTAAGATATATTCTTTATTAGTAAAATGTAGAATATGGCCTTTTGATGGGAAAAGTGAGTGATAACATCTGAAGTTAGATACAATTATACTTAGCAGCGAGGACACTTTACTAGTTCCAAGACTTATATGATATAAAGGGGTGGGGTTTTTTTGGTAAATTATTTTAATAACAAAACCTTGTTATTACACTGACATTATTTAATTTCTGCAGTAGCCTTCATTGAATTTTACATAAGGAGCCTGAAAGAGAGACAAACAAACCACTTAAAGATAATAAATATTAGACTAAGTGAAATGTTCCAATGTTTTCTGGTTTTTATAGGCGCTGGTCTCAATGATGGGCAGTGGCATGAAGTCCGATTCCTGGCAAAGGAGAATTTTGCTGTCCTCACCATTGACGGCGATGAAGCTTCAGCTGTTCGAACGAACAGCCCTCTGCAAGTTAAGACTGGAGAGAAATATTTCTTCGGAGGTAAAAGAAATATCAAACCGAGTATCTGCTTAACATGCTGTTTGCTTTCAGTTTATAAAATGTGTGAAGTGGAGCTCAGGATGTAATTAATTAATATAGATCATAATATGGCTAAAATGTCTAGTTACTGCTCATCAAAATTAAAATAATTTCACTTTGAAGAATTTTTTTGCACTTCATCCTTGCAAAAGAAACACTGAGAAGTTCTGTACAAGAGTCAGTCTAAGTTGGAATGATTTCCCAGATCTTCTCTAAACATTTCAGGGACCATTTTCTGAAAGAGCAACCATCCATTATTAGCTTAATTAGATGGCACTGAAGAAAGGGATAAACATATGTTTTCAGGTTTGGAATCCTGAATACAAATGCATAAGAAACAGTCTCCTGTGTCGGCAGTTACAAAAATCAAGGCCATCGACAAAGAGCAGTCAAAGGCCATCAAAACTATTTTTAAAATATATATTTAAACTTCTATAATAAACAGCCTATTTAGCACACCAAAGTATTTTTTATATGCTACCATCTTACAGGGGAAGGTCATTAATGTTTTTTTTAACTCAGGTGTAAATACAATTTTTTGCACTGCTAGCCAGCTTTTTCTCAAAAACATGCGATTCAGCAATGACCTGCAATCTTTGTTCAAGCAGAGTTCTCAGTGAGCTCAAATGCTAAGATAAAAAAGAACTGTAAGTTGCACTTCAGAAGTGTCCCATAGATGTCAAGTTGCACATGAAAACTCCAGGCAGAGAAAACAAATTTTGAAAGTAGAATTTATCTGTACTGTTTTTTTTTAATTTTTTTTTTTGTGAAGCTCTTTGTGTAAGTAGTACGTAGGTAGTCATAACATTACCCAAGTGATAGGAAAGTCAGTGGCATATGAAGTATGCTAAGTAGAAAAGGAAAAGTCCTTTCAAGGGTATTCTTATTTCATTATCTCCTATCAATGGAATAATTAATAATACATATGGAAATGAATGTTTAAATAATGTTACAAAACTAATATATAGTTAATTAAAGATAGATTCTAATCCTCCAGATGCTGATGACACACAGTTCCAGGAAACATTGTGGCAATGATGATATCACAGTTTAAGACAAATGTTACTAAATTAAAGCTAATCTGTCATAAGAGTTAAACTTCCTGTTGCTGCCACATGCATCTTTTTCGATGTCTTTAATTCAGCCGATATACTGAATAGTTTCTTTAGCATATTGCTCTACCATAGCCAGTTCTCACATGCCAAAGCCTGAAAAATATTTCATCATCAAAACATGGTACCTTTCATTTGTGAGAACAGTCTGATATATTCTCATTAAATGAAGGTATTAAGCACACATACGAGAAAATAAAAATAAATGCCCCAGACCATTTTTACATTCAAGGAGACAGAGTAATTGATTTCTTCTGAAACATGTTTTTTCCTTGACTCTGGTTATGAGGGACAGATTGTCTAGTTTGAGGTAGCTTTTATACCATTTATCAGTCAAAGTACAGGTTGATTTTTTTCATATCAGTTGGATTCTGAAATTGGCTTAACTTCTAGTTACCGATCTGTACTTTGTAATTCCAGCATCCTTCCATACAAAAAGTATGCTTGTAGATATTGTTCTAGTAGGATATGAAAGAAAGTCATTAATTCCCTGAAGTGTCATTCCCATATCTGTTCACGCAAATGCATGGCCTTTTGGTATATGCTATGGATTTTTTTTTTGTTTTTTCTTATTATTTCTTAAAATCTGAAAGGTCTTTTACAGTTATATGAAAATAATAGCAGTGTCCTAACCTTTATGCCTGGTTTTATTTCAAAATAAGAAGTCTGCATTTGCAACATTGTACTTAAGCATTTAACTGTCTCCAGCTGTGAGTCTGGGGAAGGTTTGTTTCTGACTTTGATCTGAGGAACTCGTTTATTTTAGTGTGCTCCCACATGAATACTGCTAAATACACGTTAGTTATTTTGTTATACATATCTGTTAATTAGCGATTACTTATAACTTAAAGCCAGTCTTTTGGATATGTATTAAAAACCTAATCTTTATATTCATGATCTGCATATTATGAGGAAAAGGAAATTTTTTTTCTGATATGGTTTAGAGGTTAACAGGGTAGAGTAGGGTCAAAGGTTGGACTTGATGATCTTAAAGGTCTTTTCCAACCTAGATGATTCTATTCTGTGTGTTCCTTTTTTTTTTTTTTTCCCTTTTTTTTTTTTTCCCCTACATTATGGCTATGAATAAATAACATTTGCAAGAAGAGGATACAGAAGTGAGAATAGTGGGGAACTTAAACATTTACACCTCTTGGTAATTGTTATCAAAGATGTTTTCATCAGTTTCATTAGGAGTAAGTTTAGATAAGAAAGTGTAAAATACTTTTTTCTGCAAGTATGCATAATTGGTTAGGAAAGGGACAACTGCCTCTTTAATTCAGGGACTAGTATGTTTGTTATTTTGCAAGGTGCTACAGGGCTAGCTGAAAGGATTACGAATTTTTTGGTGATAATATATTTTTAGTTTGAAAAGGAAGCCAATAGATTTATTTGCTAGAGTATTTTTCTGAATGCAATAGTTACAGGTATTTTGACTAATAAACCTTTGCATTATTAAAATTGAGACACATGTCAAAGAAGTTAAATGATCACTTTTCAAAATGGTAACGTTACGATATTCATCCCATCTCACTGCTCTGTTTCTTGATCTTTCAAAATCCTGAGAAAGCTCAGTCCATTCAATTTGTGTTCAGAGGGCTTTTACAGCACTTCTAGAAGGCTCTAAACACATACAGTTTTCTGATCTAAATTTTCCTATGTCATCTTGAGAAAAGATACTACATATACGTTCATGTTTTGTTCTTCAAACTTTCCCTTTTCCTGATTCAGAATAAGTGTGCTCTTCATATTCTTGTCTCCTGGTGTCAATATAACACATATATACTATTGCAATGGTGTTGTCTTTGCCAAACAAAAGATTTAAAGGTTGCATTTTGGCACTGCAGTACAGTATTTTCTCAAATACATATTTGAGAATTTAAAGAGAAAAGTAATTACAATAAAATGGGTACTGCCTCAAAGTAATAAGGCAGACACAAGATACACCTTCTCTGTGAAAATAACTGCAGTTTTTAAATGTAAGTACCATGTATTTGAATATGATTTTTTGAGACAGTGTCTTTTTCTTAAAAATTATCATTTTAATGTATTTTTATAATAACTTTTTGTTTTATTAAGAGTACATAATTATCAAAATTGGGAATGGATTAAGGATCGAGTGGATAAGAAGAACATTACTATGCCAAATGTACTGTTAAAACATTCTAGACAAATCAGAAATATTAGGAGTAGTTTGTTCAGGCACTGTGTGGTATACTGGGCCTGGATAGTCAATGTCCCTCTCTAGTAGCAGACTACAGCTACCATTTTGAGAAAGCTGGCCTTTTAGAGAAGTCAGGCCTGATTGACACTCTCTCACTTCCCCTCAAAACTACTTTCTAAATGTGTTCTACTTATTCCATAGTTTGTTCATTTAGGGAACTGCTGGAGAGAGTCCAGCAGGTGTCAACAAAGATGGTTGGGGGATTGGAGCGTCTCTCTTACCAGGAAAAGCTAAGAGAGCTGAGACTCTAGTCTGGAGAGGAGAAGACTGAGAGGAGACCATACCAATGCCCAGATTCTTCAGTGGTTGACCGTGAGAGGATGAGGGGCAGTGGGCACAAGCTGGAGCATGGGAAGTTCCATTGAAATATGAAGAAAAACTTCTTTAGGGTGAGGGTGACAGAGCTCTGGAACAGGCTGCCCAGGGAGGCTGTGGAGTCCCCTTCTCTGAAGATATTCAAAACCTGCCTGGATGCAGTCCTGAGTGATGTGCTCTGGCAATCCTGCTTTAGCAGGGGAGTTGGACTAGATGATCTCTAGAGGTCCCTTCCAACTCTGACAATTTCTGTGATTCTGTGGTAAGAAAAATGCTTGCCATTCACCACCAAGGCCAGATGCAATATATACAGCAATATTTACGTAAAGGAGATGTAGAAATCAGAATCTTCTTTGTCTTCTGCCTATAGAACTAACTTTTCTGGTTTTGCAAAATCGTAGGTGATTCATAAGAGTAAGTCATAGGATTCTTTATTTTTGTCAGAATAAAGTGTGTAGTACTGCTATATTTTTTTGGTTGGTTGGTTGGTTTGGGTTGGGTTTTTTTCCCTCTTTTTTCACCTCTCCTGTGCTGTCTATCCTCCCGAGGGACAGACTGCAATTATGTTTGTATTCAAGCCAAAGAGTTAGGCGAAGCTGTGTTAAAATGAGGCATTTCTGTAGATGGTGTGAATGTATACTCATGTATGTGGGAGGGTAGATGCTAATTGCCTGTTGCCCTATTCTATCCCTGCTGGTTTTATTTTCCTTTTCTTTTTTGTCTTAATTTTGGGGTTTTAGAATGAAGTGAACTTGCTTTCCCTTCTAAGCTCTAGAGAATGATGTTTCTTTGTTGTTTCCAATTATCTACATAAAACAAAAAAGCAGAACAGAGAAAGTGAATCACAGAGTGAAAATGAGTCCATTAACCTCATTTGCACAGTTGGAGATAAGGGGCTTTTGTGAGGCGTCTTAAGCTTGCCCCAAACCACCTAATAGCTGCCTAGTGCCCAGAGGAAACACTTGATTAGAGACCTAATTTTGACTTGTTTCTATTTCAAATAATTTCTTTTTCATTGTGTCTGATTTCACTCCCCTTTTCACTGGCTTAAGGAAGGGAGAGTTTTCAGTATGAGTGATGAATCTTCATTAAGAACAAAGATATGCAGCGAGCATCTGTCAATCCACTGCTTTTTCTGACAAGCAAAGATGAGTGGACTCTGCAGCAAGTATCCTATGAGACATCAGTCTATGGCATATAGAAAGTCCTTCCTTTCTGTATGACTGTAAAAAAAGCACTCTGTATAGAATCTTGTTCCTGGAGTATAATTAATTTGCTTCTAAACTTGTTTGGGTCTAAAATTCCATAGTGTT